AGCAGACAACATGATGTTTCCTATTTTGTCAGCAACAATATACTTCACATCAAGACCAATGAGATCAAAATCTTCATCTTCATGGAAAATAATTTGAACGACATTAGCAACACCATCATGGGCTACAACAATATCAACCTCAACATCTTCATGGACATGATCATCATTACTCACTGAATTATTCTTAGGGATCACATTATCATTCTCCTTATGAATTTGGTACTCTCTCTCCAACATGTCATAAAGGATATATGACACGTCTTTATCAACATCTTGATTTCCCATATTGACTTCCTAGGTCTCCTCACCAAAAGACTTTTGAATGAGATGATGATTTCTTACAGGCCTATTCATGAGGGGGACATCTAGCACATTTCTACCAGCAGCTAGATCAGACTTGTCAGAATGTGGAATATTGTAGATAGCAATGTTTAGTACTTAATTCTTGACATACAACCTATAGTTGAAATTGAATACATTAAGAGGAACACCAATTCTAGCTTTACCAAACATAATATCATGTTTTTTATTTACCAAAACTCCAGAAATATGAGAAGGAATTTCAATAGGAAGAGTTATGCCATAATCAATAATCTTCTTTAGCTTCTTCTTCTAAACCATTGTTAGATGTTGAATGTTGGGAGGATCTCTAGCCTGATCGTCAGCCATCCCTTCAATGAAAACTCCTTGCGCGAGTCTCATAAAGTCCATAAGTGGTAATTCAAAAACAAGAGTAAGATGTTGAAACATCTTGTAAGACATATTGGTTTTCTTCCTAACTTGATAGTCCTCATAGATTTTACCTTCTTCAATTTTGAGATCAGTATACATATGACAACTTTCTTTGCAACAACCCTCTAGTTTTGTGTGTCATAACTTAGTTTTATTGTCATCCATGATACCTGAAACATGAATTTTAACATTCTTCTCTAAATGACAACAACCATTTTCATATTTACAAATTTATTTCTATTATTGCTATCAAAAAATGTAACATAGATTCTTTCTCTTACAAAGTGTCTATTGCAACTACTGTCAAAATGACAATCTTTACAAGAAAATACCTTGTGGGAAGTCAAGCAATATGAACAAGAATATTAGGCTTCCTATGAAAATCTTGTTGATGATGCCTTTGAGGCTTCTCATTCCAGTGGAGATACATATGTTAATGATGTGGTTGTCAACCATACAACTTACAATAGTACAAGGAAATGAAGGAAACAAAATTAATGCACTAGTAATCATGTTTGACTAGATGTTGAGACATGTTACCTGACATTCTGGTACACATGTTTGACAAAATGTTGAAACTTATTGCATGACATTCTGCAATCTATTTTCTGAATAGGAGTAATACACATTTTATTTGAATTTGATGGCTCGCCTCTATGTATAACCTCTTTCATGCTTTTGAAAGTCACAACATTATTTCCTTGTTAAATCCACATTTTTCATCTATCATATCCTTAGTGTCTTGGTAGATTTTTCTTTTTTTCTTGACAAACTTGAGCATTCAACTTTAATATGTTTAAAATCTTTATATTTAAGATATTGGATCCCTTTGCACCTATAAGAATAATTGAGATTTTGTCTTTTACCATCTTTTTCTTTAAGTTGAATGTTCTTGAAATTGGTAGAGACATTATTCCCAAATCTCGTGTCCATCTTTTTCATGACTTTACTAAAGATCTTAGTAATCATGAGATTTTCTTCAGAATCATAATTTCTTTGGTCTTCACAATCTTCATAATTTCCTTTGGCTATATTCTCTAGAGGATTCTTAATACCAGAAAAAAAATCTCTGGTTGATGAGTTTCTCCTCCTTCATTGAAATTCTCCATCTTGAACAAAATAAGAACCTTAGAATAAACCCAAAAAGAATAGGGTCCTGCTCTCATGTCAATTGAAATTACGTTCTTAGGAGGACAAATGTTGGACCAGATACCTGAGACAACATGTAACATTGGTTTATGATAAATGGCATATTTTGCGGGCAGATGTCAGACATGATGTCAGAGACATTATATACCATAAAAACCAGTTTGCAAGCAAGATAATAAATGTTAAAGGCAAATAAATAACACAAAAAAATTGTTAATCCACTTCGGTAAAATCACACCTACGTCTAGGGGCACTCTAACTAAGAAAGGAAATTCACTATCTTGAATTAGTACAATTAGTCTTATAGAAACATCAACCCCATGATGTTCACTGCGTTTCCCTAATCCTAATGACTTTCTATTTAGTTCTTCCCCTAAATACGAGAATCCCTTTCACATTTTTTTAATCAGTAATTCTAAGTGACACACTTCAATAAACTTAATCACTAATCTCAAGTGCTCAACTCAATAAACAATATATTGATGATGAATTTAAAATTTAACTAAACACACCAAACTCAATGCTTTTAGATATGAATGAAACAATAGAGTTCTGCACATATAGCAACAAAAACAAAGACTCAAAGGATAAACCTAACACACAAATCTTCAATACATGCACACCCTCAAATGTGAGGTTTAAGTCTCCTTAAATAACAATGCAATCTGGGCTTTATCTCCTTTGGATATTTGATTCGATTTTGTCCATAACTATAGTCGATACAGTTGGATTTTATTTGCTCCAAAAAAGTCTCCAAGAAAATATATGATTTGTTTTTAGTTCAAATTCAAATTTAAATCTCCATTTAAATTGATTTGATCTTCAATGGTTATCAACCAAACCTCACAAACACATTACTAAAATACAGCAATAAATCGGATTGAATCTCAACTAAATTTTTGTTCCAAAACAACAATGACCTTATAAATAAGGGTCATTGTTGCGCACATGTTGAAACATTTGGTTCCACGTGTGTGCCTTCAGCACCAAAAACATCTTGAATACTTCATTGTTGTTTTTGCATAATGTAGGAAATTACATACAACAACAATAATAGCCATGCTCTTAGAGTTTCCCAATACTTAATAAATTCTCATCTAATTTAAGAAAATAAAGAGTATCATGAATCACCTTACCTCTTTGCTTTGTTACAACTCTAGTACTTCCTTTACCTTCAACTTCAACATATTCCCCATTATCTAATTTGACTTTTGAGACAAATGAAGGCATTTTTATTTCCTATCATATGGTTGTTACACATGGTGTCCAAGTATCACACATTTTTATACTCATGATTTTACTTTTGACAAGCAAAAAATTAATTGACTTTACTATTTTTTGCTTTTGCAAATGATATGTAATGTTGATTTTTGTAAGCGACAATTTTTATGCATGTGCCCTAACCTTTTGCAATTATGACATTATGATTTTCATTTGTTCCAACAATCTTTATCCTCGTGAGTGTTATTCTTACAAATGTCACACCATTTATTTAAGCATCCAAAATTTCCTCGTCCTCAATAGGCTCGTTTCAACAAATTTATCACCTCTGAGAAACTCGTCTTTGTTTTTGGATAGCAATTGCTCATTATTTGGTTGAATGGTTAGCTTTGAATCAAATGCGCTTTCGACTAGATTTTCTTTAGGTTGTGACAACCTTTGCTCATAGAATTTAAGTGACCCATCAACTATTGAATTGTCATAGTTGTCAAATCCTTTGTTTTTTTAAAATATCTTGAATTGATCAAAATAAAATTCACAATTCAAGATATTCATTTGTATTTCCATGTAATTTCATTTAATTCACTAGATCAATGAGTTTATTAAAGTACTCAATTTAACTTTCATTTTTTCATTCTCAAAATCTCTTTTAAGATACATAAGTTTGATTTTTGTCACCTTTAACTCTCCTTAAAATTATTGTTATATAATTTCTCATATTTCTTTGCTAGCTTTCGCTCTCATTATTCTTAGAAATATAGTATTTGAGATGTGTCTTTTAAATCATTCCAAAAACTTCAATATTTATGATTTTCTTCTTCTTTTTTAATTCTTCATTTTATGTTGTTGTACATTTGATTGCAGTTGTTAGTTCTTCGAATCCTTATTTAAAGAACTGCAAAACATCCAAAGATGTGACTACACTCTCCATTTTCACCGCTCAAAATTTTTAATTTTTTCCTTCAAATAAAAGAACATGAACAATGATATAGATAGTTGATGCTTATTGTTATTAATGCATTACTATAGAAAGTAATGACTTTTCACCTTTAATCTTCTCTCTATTGTTTTATCGTACATCAAATGATGGAGAGCTCTCATATTTATATTTGAGTGATAGAACTCTCTAAACATGCTTCTATATTAATTTAGGTGCACCATTTCATATTAACTCACATTATCCTAGGTGCATGCTTATATATTAATCTAGATACTTAAATGCTACTATCTCCTTCGTTTTAAAATAATTGTTGCTTAAAAATTATATATATAAATTAAGAAAATACAATGATAGTTAAGTGATGATAAAAAATAATATGCAAGCTTCATGCTTCAACCAAAATAATTGAGTACAAAATAATGATATAGAAAAAATTTGTTAAAACAAAGATTGCATATATGTAGAGACAAGAAAACTTCCAACGTTTTCTATTATAGTAAGTTAATATGAATATGAAAAAGAAAAAAGAAAAAGGAAAATGATTGAAGCTTCTTCAATCAAAATATATAAAGATATCATATATATTTTTCCAGTAAAATCTCACCAATGCAATAACACAAACACACTAGACTTTGATATCATTGTCAAATAAACCCAATAACAAACTCTTATAGTTTGTTCTTTCATGACTCAAATGGCTCTCCATTCTTTTCATATATTATATTTAAAATATGGGTCTTGCTAACCAGTGCCCTCAGAGCACTATTTAAACATTCCATATTAAGAAATTATTCTTTAAAAAATTCAAACACTTCAATTTTCAATGCACATTATTACACATTATTGCACATACTTTTATAAAAACTTACTATTTAAAGTTTTAAAAAGTGCCCTAAGGCACTGGTTAGCATTTCCCTTAAAATATATAGTCGCTTAAATATTTTTCCTGCATATCTCTCTACATAACAGCCACCAAAGAAGCCAAGCACATCACTGCTCCAACGAAACCTGCCACGGTTCTTGAAGAGCTACTGGGATCTTTAGCATCTGCGGCTGCCGCGTCATCTGAAGCACCAGGAGCCAAAGATGGGCTTGATACATCAGCGGCAGTTGGGCCTTCAGTTGGGGTCTCTGCAACGGGTGCTTCAAAAGGTGTAGGAGCAGTCGCTGCCTCAGAAGTAGGAGTCTGGGCTCCAGGTGTGGGAGCATCAGCAACGGCATCTTGTGTCGGTGCTGGGGCTTTAGATGCATTGGCCGACACAGGAGCCTTAGCACTTTCTGCTGGTGCTGGGGCTTTGGCATTAGCGGGTGCGGATGGGGCTTGTGCGTTACCTCCTTCGAATGTAATAGGTCTGGCTACTTCGAGTATGGAAATGTTATAAGGTTGGGTAACAACTGTTTTCACGAGCTCAACATCAACGGGAGAACCCTTAACAGCGGAGCCAAAGGCGATCTCGCCCTCACCAACGAGGGCAACCTTAATGAACCCTTGTTGGTTTTGGGCGAGGCCTGAGGCTTGGTAAAGGGTGGTTAAGAGTTGATTGCTGCCTTGAGCTTCCATGAGCTTTTTCTCATCAAAATAATCAAGGATCACATGAGTGCTAAGGATGGCCTTGATAGCTTGTGGGGATTTTCCAGAGAGACCACCCATAGCACCATCATTGAGGGCGAGGATGGTGATGCTGTTGCGAGAGTTTATTTGATCAATAAGCTTGGTTTCGTTTAGGGCTTTAGTGAAGGATGCAAACTCAGGACTTTTTTCTAACAATTTTGCAACGTCCAATGCATGAATGGAACATGAAACTGCAAGGAGAACACCCAAGCAGAGAAGATAAGAGCTTTTAAAACCCATATTTTCACAAATTTATTCAATTTTCTGTTTATTTATTTATTTATTTTTCGGATATTATGTCCGAAACCAAGCCTGAAGAAAAAGAGAGGGTTAATAGGGTTTATATATGTCATTTATTATGCTAAGTTTAGCCATAAAGTTATTTGGAGGTTTGTGTTTAAAATCTATTTTTGTCATTGTGAACATTGAACCTCTCCATGCAACTATTTTAATAAATGTTGGATGGTTTAGCATGATTTGCATAACGAAACATGTGGAGGATGAGAATAAGAATGAGTATTTTTAGGATCATCATGAAGCCATAAATAGGTAGAGCTACTTTAAAGTGTTTTTTTTTTATGGAAATACTATTAGGACATGTTATTTATGTCTGGTTGAACATATAAAATAATTATAAACCATTATAAAACAATTTGAAGATATTTGTTACTCACAATTATTATAAAATATTTTAAATAACTTTAAATATAAGAATTATAAATTTTATTCACTCCTTTGAAAATTAATAAGAGCATTGCGAAGAATAAAACAGTGAAATTATAAGATTAATAATTAAAAAATAATTTTGGAAAACTAATATACACTATTCATAAATTTATTACTATCAATTAAATTAACACACTTTCTTCTTCTTTTTAATAAATATTAAGAACTCTTTTTAATACTCATACAGTAGATAAATTAATCTTATATCCAAGAAATAATGAGTATATGTTGGTACAAAATTTTCTACATCATTTGATTAATCTAAAATTTTAAAATGTTGAAAATTTTTAGATTTTTTGACACAATTAAAATATAATTATCATATAATTAAAAATAAATCTATTTATTATGTTTTTTTTCATTTTTTCTTTCTGATTGATTAATTTGATTTAAAAATTATTAGAATGATACTCTTTTTAAATAGATAGGAGATTGAAAATTTGTTTATGTTATTTATAAAGTTATATATATTTTTGATGCTATTGATAATTCTTTCTAGTTGATCATAACCTGAAGTGGGTCAGAGACTTCGTCTTCGACGCTGGAATCTAAAGAGGAGGGGATGTACCTGTAAGGCAATTTCGATGCCAAATTAAGAATCGGGAGAGGAGGAGGCAAGTAAAAAGTAAGAATGACTTAGGGTGATTTTGGAATACTTGACCTTCTCAAAGGAGAGGGTATTTATAATACCCTCAGCATTTCGCCATTGGTCCTTATTTTCGGGTCTAGATATTCGCTTTTCAAAAATAGGTAACTTTCAGAAACTAGTCGTTGTGACAGACAGACATACTCGGAACTAGTCGTCGCTTCGAGCAGGGGCGTGGTTGCGGGCAAACGCATCATGGTCATTCTTGGATGGTTAAACCGTGCGTGACAGACATAGATGTGACAAAGGGTAGCTGATCCTGGGGGTTAGCTGGCCAACCTTCCTCGACTGAGGAGCAGAAGAAAAAGTGTTTTCCTTTGCCTTCAAGTGGCAGTGCTTTCCTTTTTCCTCAATTGACAAGGGTTAGAATATTGGACCGTTCTAGGTGCAGAAGTGGATTGGGTCATGCCTAGCCATTGGGCTAGTTCGAAATATGAGCTCCCCAAGTCGTTGCTCCTGAGCATATGAGTGATGACTTAAGGGCGGTTTGTAATCCCGAGGAGGGGTAAGCGTGGTCGGCGCTTGTTACTGACACGAGGTCTTTTCCTGGTGCTCGAGGATACATGTGCCCGAGGAACTCGAAACGTTGTTCTGCGTGTCCAGCGAGCGGGGAGTCCAACGGTCGATGAGACTTGAAGGGATGGAGCGTCACGCATGCGTCGAGCCACGCGCCGTAGTTAATGAGTAATGATGGTTATGCTAGGGTTATAATGATGCCCTTACGTCTTCCTAGGCATGCGCGTGCTCGTACACATGCTTCTGACTCGTCTATAAATAGAGGGAGGATGCTCCTACACCTTCTGAAGCACCCGTTGCAGAGACCCCAACTGAAGGCCCAACCGCCGCCGATGTATCAAGCCCATCTTTGGCTCCTGGTGCTTCAGATGACGCGGCAGCCGCAGATGCTAAAGATCCCAGTAGCTCTTCAAGAACCGTGGCAGGTTTCGTTGGAGCAGTGATGTGCTTGGCTTCTTTGGTGGCTGTTATGTAGAGAGAGATATGCAGGAAAAATATTTAAGCAACTATATATTTTAAATATAATATATGAAAAGAATGGCGAGCCATTTGAGTCATGAAAGAACAAACTATAAGAGTTTGTTATTGGGTTTATTTGACAATGACATCAAAGTCTAGTGTGTTTCTGTTATATATTGCGTTGGTGAGATTTTACTGGAAAAATATATATGATATCTTCATATATTTTGATTGAAGAAGCTTCAATCATTTTCCTTTTTCTTTTTTCTTTTTCATATTCATATTAACTTACTATAATAGAAAACATTGGAAATTTTCTTGTCTCTACATATATGCAATCTTTGTTTTATCAAATAAATTTTGTTTTCAAATGATTGTGACTCTCATATGTAGAAATTATTGTTAATTTTTCAATTATATCTCTTAATTATTAGTATTTTTTACACTACTTCTAATACATTAATATGAATAATTTAATAAAAGTGTAATATTTTAATCTTATGTCAACATCATTGTATTTTCTTAATTTATATATATAATTTTTAAGCAACAATCATTTTAAAACGAAGGAGATAGTAGTATTTAAGTATCTAGATTAATATATAAGCACGCACTTAGGATAATGTGAGTTAATATGAAATGATGCACCTAAATTAATATAGAAACATGTTTAGAGAGTTCTATCACTCAAATATAGATATGAGAGCTCTCCATCATTTGATGTACGATAAAACAATAGAGAGAAGATTAAAGGTGAAAAGTCATGACTTTCTATAGTAATGCATTAATAACAATAAGCATCAACTATCTATATCATTGTTCATGTTCTTTTATTTGAAGGAGAAAATTAAAAAATTTGAGCGGTAAAAATGGAGAGTGTAGTCATATCTTTGGATGTTTTGCAGTTCTTTAAATAAGGATTCAAAGAACTAACAACTACAATCAAATGTACAACAACATAAAATGAAGAATTAAAAAAGAAGAAGAAAATCATAAATATTGAAGTTTTTGGAATATTTAAAGACACATCTCAAATACTATATTTCTAAGAAATATGAGAAATTATATAACAATAATTTTAAGGAGAGTTAAAGGTGACCACAATCAAACTTATGTATCTTAAAAGAGATTTTGAGAATGAAAAAATGAAAGTTAAATTGAGTACTTTAATAAACTCATTGATCTGGTGAATTAAATGAAATTACATGGAGATACAAATGAATATCGTTGAATTGTGAATTTTATTTTGATCCTTTGGTGGATGTTTTAAAAAACAACGGATTTGACAACTATGACAATCCAACAGTTGATGGGTCACTTAAATTCTATGAGCAAAGGTTGTCACAACCTAAAGAAAATCTAGTCGAAAGCGCATTTGATTCAAAGCTAATCATTCAACCAAATAATGAGTAATTGCTATCCAAAAACAAAGGCGAGTTTTTCAGAGGTGATAAATTTGTTGAAACGAGCCTATTGAGGACAGGGAAATTTTGGAGGTTCAAATAAATGATGTGACATTTGCAAGAATAACACTCACGAGGATAAAGATAGTTGGAACAAATGAAAATCATAATGTCATAATTGCAAAAGGTTAGGGCACATGCATAAAGATTGTCGCTTGCAAAAATCAACATGACATATCATTTGCAAAAGTAAAAAATAGTGAAGTCAATTAGTTGTTTGCTTGTCAAAAGTAAAATCATGAGTATAAAAATGCGTGATACTTGGACACCATGTGTAACAACCATATGATAGGAAATAAAAATGCCTTCATTTGTCTCAAAAGTCAAATTAGATAATGGGGAATATGTTGAAGTTGAAGGTAAAGGAAGTACTAGAGTTGTAACAAAGCAAAGAGGTAAGGTGATTCATGATACTCATTATTTTCTTAAATTAGATGGGAATTTATTAAGTATTGAGAAACTCTGGGAGCATGGCTATTATTGTTGTTGTATGTGATTTCCTACATTATGCAAAAACAACAATGAAGTATTCAAGATGTTTTTGGTGCTGAAGGTACACACGTGGAACCAAATGTTTCAACATGCGTGCAACAACATATGACCCTTATTCAGAAGGTCAATGTTGTTGCGTTTTTAGAGCAAAAATTTGGTTGAGATTCAATCAGATTTGTTGCTATATTTTAGTAATGTGTTTGTGAGGTTTGGTTGACAACTATTGAAGACCAAATCAATTTAAATGGAGATTTAAATTTGAATTTGAACTAAAAACAAATCATATATTTTCTTGGAGACTTTTCTGGAGCAAATAAAATCCAACTGTATCAACTATAGTTATGGACAAAATCGAATCAAATATCCAAAGGAGATAAAGCCCAAAATTGCATTGTTATTTAAGGAGATTCAAATATCACATTTGAGGGTGTGCATGTATTGAAGATTCGCGTGTTAGGGTTTATCCTTTGAGTCTTTGTTTTTGTTGTTATCTGTGCACAACTCTATTGTTTCATTCATATCTAAAGGCATTGAGTTTGGTGAGTTTAGTTGAATTTTAAATTCATCATCAATATCTTGTTTATTGAGTTGAGCACTTGAGATTAGTGATTAAGTTTATTGAAGTGTGTCACTTAGGATTACTGATTAAAAAAAAGTGAAAGGGGTTCTCGTATTTAGAGGGAGACCTAAATAGAAAGTCATTAGGATTAGGAAAACACATTGAACATCATGGGGTTGATGTTCCTATAAGACTAATTGTACTAATTCAAGATAGTGAATTTCCTTTCTTAGTTAGAGTGCCCCTAGACGTAGGTGTGGTTTCACCGAAGTGGATTAACAATTTTATTGTGTTATTTATTTACCTTCAACATTTATTATCTTACTTGCAAACTGGTTTTTATGGTATATAATGTCCTAGACATCATGTTTGACATCTG